CAAAATCCGTTACTTTACCTCTATAATTTTCATTGTTTTAAGTACTTTTATGTACTTCAGTTGCCAGTGTGTTCGATTTCTACCTAAATGCACTATGTCACAGTAAAATAATGTTAGTAATTAGGTACACATCTTTATTTAAGTGGTTTTAGTAGCTTCTATATAAAAAAACTGTACTGGTAGAAAAACCTTTCAAATAAATTCTGCTTCAAGTGTAAAAGACCAAAATAATATGTGAAAGGAGTATTTGATTGTGATATGTAACAAATAACTGTTAGGCAAAGTAAAAAGGTTTTTTACAACATCTTTTCCATCTTTCCCAGCGATAGGCCTATAGCTACTTTTGAGTCTTTATTGGAACTCATCGGCAAAAGCAGCAGTCCTCTCAAAGCTTTCTATATATAACATAACCTTCAAAGTCGCCAAAGAATGTCTGATCTGCAATAATCTCAGAACAAATCCAATAAGCCTAGGAAATTTCGTCATCTCATTCTTAACAAAACAGCACTTTAAAGCACCTAATGAGTCTTCTTGTGATAGAAGTATCATAATCATGATGGGGCCACTACCTGACATATCTGCATGATATAATCCAATTGACGTCAAACCACTGGGTGAAGTAAAGTTCGAAGGGCTAGGCATCCAATGACACTTTGGCTGATTTCAAAAATGTTTCTCGGCATATGAGTATCATTTGGTCTAAACACTGGGCTTCATCGTCATTTAGGCAATACTGTTAATGAAAAACACTTTTGTAGTGTCATTTGGGGTTCGCTTGCACAGCAAATCAAAAGAAGGCGATCGAACAACGAAGACTTTTCTTCATTTTTTCCCACGTAACAGCCATTTCAGTTTTCAATGACTGATTTTTTTTTTTCGAATTTCTCGCGCCTGGTATTAGCTTGGTCGGTTGGTTGTACAAGGTAGTTATTCATAAAAAACATGCATTTATTTCACGTACCTTTGCAATCACAATCAAGTGGACATAAAATTTTGCAACGTCCTTAAGCATCTGAACTCTGATTAAAAACAAAGCCTTACCGATACACGTAGTACTTTTAAAACCAAATAAAAAAATGTCAACAACCGGAAATGCTATTACGAATAAACAATTTTGAAATTAATACAATCACTATAAAGCGACATCTGGGATTTGTCACCTCATCTACCGCTGTATTATAGTCGATTTAACACACGCAGCTGATGTAAAAGGCGAAGCTAAATTGCCAACCTTTGGTTAACACGCAGACTAATAAATATCAAAGATCAGAAATGTCTATAATGGATTTTGTCGCAGTTGCATACACTGTAGGACTGTCGCTGTTAGCTAAGTTTATCAATTTTGAATGCGCACAAAAAAGAAACCCTAGGGGGCCAGTAGTCGTACACGTACGCACAAACAGTATATCTGAGGTCGCATAAAACCGACTGATGCTTGGTAATTACCATATTTGAAACCCCAAGAGCATCTGTTGATATTCCATGTTTTTTTTTAAAGAACCAATCTATCGCATCAATTGATTGTTTATAATAAACAAGGTTTCAATGGCTTTCTCCAAATGATCCTCACAGTAACTTACTCAAAGTCATGGAGGATCCAGCCAAAGCAAAGTAATCGATTCTACAGGTTAAAACCCTTTCCCAAAGAACATTCCGAACTTTCGACATTACGTATTATGATGCTTAAAAGCAATTAAACCCTTCATATATTTTGCATAGACGAGTGCTTTTTTCGCTCAAACTCGCAATCACAAACAACTTGAGAAGTGATCTCCAACTCCCTGTAGCAATAATGCACCACGAGTCCCTTTCAGCCTTTGGGATACAGACAACAGGAGAAGGAAGATAGCAGATCATTATATCATCAATAAACGTTTAACCAGTGTTACAGTTCCGAGAGAGCAGTTAGCACGTATGAAATGCTTGTGAAATAGGATATAAACATGGTATTTGATGACGGAGGTTCTACAGTCTTCAGCAAGAGGTTGATGGAAATTGTGCCAAAATTAGAAAGAAGACAATTTAAAGGCTATTGAGTATCTTGGTCAATTGTCTCTCATGAATCGGGTGTGCCTAGACTTATAGCCCACCCTCCAATGGATCCATACAGGTATAGGTTTGCGTGACGTAACTGGGTCAAAAGCTAAGACAGGAAAACACATATACGGCGAAGCTTGCAAAAGTTGTCCGGCGAGAAAGAATTCACAATACTTCGTACAGAGACTAATACTTAAATAAACCACAAAATTGGAAAAGATTACTACCAGTAAACTAAAACAAAATAGTGTACTGCTTTGATATAATTTAATATGTAACCATAGTACAATACAGTACAATATAAATGGGTTAAAGAGAACATCGGAAGCCATGAATGCTAAACACTTCAAAATGTGCCAATAACTTTGAAAAATAACCCATCATGCTGATTTTCAAACTTAACCAAACAAATCCTACTAGCAAATACAATAAAACTAAAATATGGCGTAGCGCTTATGGGGAAAACGTCGCAAAAGACATGCAAAAAAGCTTCCTACTAGATTAAAAGTAAAACAGAAATACAGATTGGCACTTTCTGGGTGTATGTCGTCTACGAATTTTGTGAAAATGACCTAATCTTGTTGATTTTTAAACCAAACCCACTTTTATCAGAGGGAAAAGCTCCCAAGTATAGATTAAGTAAAACAAAAATACAGTTTGTAAATTGGCACGTATGGGGTAAATGTCGCAAAAGTACATGAAAAAATAAATGAATAATTCGATCATGCTGATTTTCAAACTCAGCCTGCAATTACCAAACACTGTCCCTGAGTAAACTTAAAGAAAAGAGTTTGAGTTTTATGGGGAAAACAAATGTGTCGGACGGCGACAACGACGGCGACGATAAGTGTAGACCCAGGTAAACAGAATATGTAAAGACATCTACAGTGACTGTATAAAGAAAGGAAACGGCTATGATGGCTGGTCTTTTGTTGTGTTGATGACCAAAGACCGTTTAAATTGATTCAATTTTATCCAGGTTCATATAACTTGTCTACAGGTGAACTGCTGTCAATTTGGAC